GAAGCCTTGTCAATTATTATTCATTTTTGACTAGTATTTCTTTCATCTTATTTCTCTTGTTTTTACACGAAGTAATAAACGCCTTTATTTGAATGGATTTCTTAGATGATGCGTTGTTTTATTATTACCGTATATTCCGGCTAACACGAAGCACATTTTTTCCTAAAAAAAAAATACCGTATACGTCTTCCAAGACGAATGTGAAACAAGTAAGGCTCAATTATGCTTGGATAGTCACCTAATTGGCTTCTTAGATGAAGCCTTGTCAATTATTATTCATTTTTCACTAGTATTTCTTTCATCTTATTTCTTCTACTTTTCCACAAAGTAGTAATAGTCTTAAGTTGTCTGAATTTCTTAGATGAAACCATGGCAATTATTATTACTTTTTGACTAATATATCTTCCAACTTAGTTATTATTTTTACAACAATTAGCAACAGTATAAAATTGTCTGAATTTTTTTCAAGAAGCCTTGTCAGTTATTATTCATGTTTGACTAGTATTTCTTTCATCTTATTTCTTTTGCTTTTCCACCAAGTAGTAATAGTCTTAAGTTGTGTGAATTTCTTAGATGAAGCATTGGCAATTATTATTCATGTTTGAATAGTATTTCTTTCATCTTATTTCTCTTGCTTTTCCACCAAGTAGTAATAGTCTTAAGTTGTCTGAATTTCTTAGATGAAGCCTTGGCAATTATCATTGATTTTTTACTAATATTTCTTTCGTTTTTTTCTCTTGTTTTTCAACCAAGTGGTAATAGTCTTAAGTTGTTTGAATTTCTTAGATGAAGCCTTGTCAATTATTATTCATGTTTGACTAGTATTTCTTTCATCTTATTTCTTTTGCTTTTCCACCAAGTAGTAATAGTCTTAAGTTGTCTGAATTTCTTGCATTCTCATTTATTGATAATTTTTGGCAAATATTCTTCCATTTAATTTCACAAACAATGTTACACGGCCATCAAATATTTGATCTTAGATCTAAAGACGACGCCTGGAAGTTTGGTTAGTACATTGCTGAAAGTTTGCAATAAAAATAACTAAGTTGGTATATTCAGCCGTATAATAACAATAATAATGACAATATTTGATCTTAGATCTAAAGACGACGCCGGGAAGATTGGATAATACACGACTGAAAGTTTGCAATGAAAATAACAATGATGGTATATTCAGCCAATACATACAATAATAATGTCAATATTTGATATTAGATCTAAAGACGCCAACAGAAAAAGCAGAAAGACCATAGACTAAACTTTGTCTTCATACAAATTCTAAACACCAATACAAGAATGGTGAAAAGCGGCTTAGACAAATATTGTAATCAAAATAACAAGGATGATCATATCTGCTTGAATAATTCATTGAATAAGGAGAAAATTTGATCTTAGACCTATAGACACCATCAGATAAGCCAACAGGCGGATGAAGATAATATTGTGACTAAAACAACAATGATGAAGATAAATGTTTAAATAATATATTGAATAACGAGAAGATTTGATCTTAGCTCTTAATACAACAGCAGGGAGGCCAAAAAGCAGATCAACCGAATATTTTGACTAAAACAACAATAATGGAATTAAATTCTTAATAATGCAAAAATAATTAAAAGATTCGATCTTAGATCTTAATACGACAGCAAAAAGGTCAAAAAACGGACCAACGAAATATTGTGACCAAAACAACAGTGATGAAGATAAACGTTTAAATAATATATTAAATAATGGAAAGTTGTTTTCTTAGCTCTTTACACCGGCAAAGCCAACAATCGGACAAGCCAAATGTTGTGACTAAAACAATAATGATGAAGATAATTTTGAATTAATATGTTAAATAATAAAAAGTTTTGATCTTAACTCTTAACACGATACCAGGAAGGACAAAAAGCTGACCATCCAAATACCGTGACCAAAATAACAATGATGAGATAAATTAAAAAAAAATAATGTATTGAATAAGGAGAAGATCTGATCTTAGATATTAATACGGCACCAGGAAGGCCAAAATAGCGGACTATTCAAGTGTTGTGACTAGAAATGCAATGATGAAGATATTTTTTTAATTAATATATAAAATAATAAGATTTTTTCTTAGCTCATAATACGACATCAGCAAGGCCAAAAAGCGGACCATCCAAATATTGTGAGCAAAACAACAATGATAATGATACATTTTAAAAATGATTTAATGAGTAATGAGAAGATTTGATCTTAGCTCTTAATACGAGAGCAGGATGGCCAAAAAGGGGACCAACGAAATATTGTAACTAACACAATTTAATACTGAGCGTCGTCTTGCTTAACAATTCAGGTAAGTTTCTGTGATAATATAAATCCTGATGATGCATAGTTGTGACGGGAAGCAGACATGAAATCTTGTATAAATAATTTTCGAAAAAGATATGGATGATAAAACATTGACAGGCAATAATTCCTGTAAAGAGACAGACAAATAACAGGTGCCCGGCAGAAAACTCGAAGTGAAAAGAAAAAGAGTTAGGAGTAGATATTTTCTTTTTGAAATGTCACTTTTGCGATGTGATGAATTTCATCAGCCTGGGCAGGAAAGGGAAAAAGAAAAACAGGAATTTTGAACTTTACGACTTCAAGTGTCTGGGCGCTATATGCATTGAACGGAGTAGAGATAACCTTTCTGAAATAGGCTGCCATCGAAACGAAAGCAGATATTTCTATCGAGACGAACAGACGGTGATATTGATATAAAATGAGGAAGAAGGACATGGCGTCATTGTGATAGGTATAAGACGAAAGAAGCACACAGACATACGCACATTATATATATATATATATATATATATATATATATATATATATATATATATATATATATATATATACACACACACATATATATATATATATAGATAGATAGATAGATAGATAGATAGATAGATAGATAGATAGATATTAGTGGTAAATATACACATACATATGCAAAATATATAAATATATATACACATACATGCATACACATACATATATATTTGTATAAAAAAGATACCAAGAGGATAGAATCCAGGTAGAACTCAATGTCCAGGACAGAGTAAGGATATAATAAAAAGGCTTAAACACTAATATTCCATGGTCATAATTTATTCCATCGGAATCGTAAATACGATCCAATTCATCAGACCTACAAATTCAAAAAGAAAACAGAAAAAAATAACTGGACTTGTTTTTTTCTGTTTTTATCATATATATATATTAAAGACATTTTTATGTTTAACGTTCTTTTTTATAGACACAAGTATTTAAGTAAATGCTCAGTTTATAATAAACATTATTAAATAACATTTACCGGCCTGAATGTCCGAAAATTTTCGAAAATATTCGTCCTTTGACAGGATTCGAACCTGCATCCTATAAGGAACAGTCATTTACGCTGACTTATAAACCGGCAATTCGGTGAACAAAAGGTCAATACTGAAGGCCAATTTCTTGTCTGCCGTGGCTCCTTTGTGGCCGGTCACGGCATTCCGTATAGGATGCAGGTTCGAATCCTGTCAAAGGACGAATATTTTCTATGAAAATTTCTCGACATTCAGGCCGGTAAATGTTATTTAATACTGTTTATTATAAACAGAGCATTTACTTAAATACTTGTATCTATAAAAAAGAACGTTAAACATAAAAATGTCTTTAATAAATAAATTGTCGGACTTTGTCCATTTCTTAATATATATATATGTGGGGGGGTTATATAGAAACAAATACATACACACACATAAATTCATTATATTTTATAAGTATATACTTAATAGCTCTGTTATTTAGCATTGGGTACTGTTTTACTTACGCTAAAATATATATATATATATATATATATATATATATATATATATATATATATATATATATATATATATATAGACGTTCGATAAAAGTGACTCACCTGATTTTTTTTTTTTACTAAATGTTCTCTTCTCCGATGAAACGAATGTTGAGCTAAATTCAAAGGATTAAGCGATCTAAAATCCGAAGTAGAAACCTTGAAAGCTCTTTGAATTTAGCAGTAAGTACTGTCAAGCATCCGTTCAGTATAATGTTCTGGGGATGCTTTTCTTTTCATGGAACTGGTTTCTTAAAACCTATTGAAAGGACCCCCAGGAGCGAACAGTACAAGAGAATTTTAGAGTCTTGTCTGCTCCCTTCTGCTGAAAGGGTGCAAATCGACCCCACCAAGCTCATTTTTATGCAGGATAATGCTCCCTGTCACAAATCAAAATTGATGAAGGAATACTTTGATGAGAAGCGGGTCAGTGTTATGACATGGCCGCCCCAATCTCCTGACCTCAACCCCATAGAAAACTTATGGAGCATTATAAAGTACAGGCTCTCGAGAAAGCAGTTGAGCAACAAAACGGGTTTGATTGTGAATTCCATATCCGAATGGAATTCAATGCTTGGAGACGAGATTTGCCAGAACCTAATCAAGTCAATGCTAAAAAGGGTTGAAAAGGTTATTCAAAATAAAGGAGGATCCATACATTATTAAATATTTCGAACTATATTACATATTATAAATAAATTATACCTCTATTATTCTTTATTTAAAGCTGTTTGGTTATGTTTCTATTGATTACTAGTTGCAGGAAATAAGTGAGTCGCTTTTTTTGCACAGAGTTTTTCCCTAAATCTCATTTATATCCAAAATTATAATTATCAATAGAATACCTTAGGATGAGTAAACTTTTTTGTACTAGGTGGTCGGGAAGGGTCTTTATATTAGTAAGATTAAAAATAAGTTCGAGCCCAAAAACAACAGGCGAAAATGTTTTAAGTAAAAAAAAATCATGTGAGTCACATTTATCGAACATCACTGTATATATATATATATATATATATATATATATATATATAGAAGAAATATATTTATAAGTTGTGCTATATTTATGGGATCAAGTGCTCAATATCAGAGATAGAGCGTATGTAAATATAAATATATGAGTGAACATTGAAGTCAACACTCAGGACTAGGAGAAAGAGAGATACGGAGACAGAGAGAGAATTAGAGAGATTGATATGGGCATAGAGTTGTGAATAGACTTAGGCACATATGAACCAAATGAGAGAGAGAAAGAGACAGACAGAGAGAGAGAGACGAAGAGAGAGAGAGAGAGATTGATAGGAACTGGCTGATATTGGCATGTCGATTTGAATAGACTGATATCGATAGATAGATAGATAGATAGATAGATAGATAGATAGATAGAAACAGACTGAGATAGATAGATAGATAGATAGATAGATAGATAGATAGATACGAACAGACTGAGATAGATAGATAGATACGAACAGACTGAGATAGATAAATAGATAGATCCGAACAGACTGAGATAGATAGATAGATAGATAGATAGATAGATAGATAGATAGATAGATATTATGAAATTATGATAGATATTGCCTTATTATGGCAGATAGCTAGCAAGCTAGCTAGATAGATAAGTAAAGATGCGATGATAGATAGATAGATAGATAGATAGATAGATAGATAGATAGATAGATAGATAGATAGATAGATAGATATGAACCAACTGGGAGAGAAAGATACAGAGACAAAGAGAGAATTAAACAGATTGATACGGACGCATAAATTTGGATATTTTCATTCTTATCTTATTATCATTCGAAACTTTGTCAGTTCCACTGTTGGACATTTCTGCTAATAGCATTTAATCAGGGCCAAGTACTCTACAGTAGGAATCGCTTCCCCCCCAAAAAAAAAAAATTTTGTATTTTCAATACAGATCCAAATCTGAATTCAAATTTTCTTTAATAAGCAACAGATTCTGTACAGTGGTAGACATTAATCACATTGTTTAGAAAAAAAAAACAAAAAAACCCCAGAAAACTCCAGTGACTATTTAAACAATTGCCTCTATTAAATATAACGGTTATTCTAAATATTATAATGTTGGTTTAAATACATTCTTTAACTTAAAAAAAATACCTTTGTTTATATATATATATATTAAGAAATGGACAAAGTCCGACAATTTATTTATTAAAGACATTTTTATGTTTAACGTTCTTTTTTATAGATACAAGTATTTAAGTAAATGCTCTGTTTACAATAAACAGTATTAAATAACATTTACCAGCCTGAATGTCCGAGAAATTTTCATAGAAAATATTCGTCCTTTGACAGGATTCGAACCTGCATCCTATACGGAACCGTCATTTACGCTGACGTGCCTTAACAGTCTCGGCCACAAGAGCATTATTTGAAACAGCGCATTTACTTAAATACTTGTATCTATAAAAAGAACGTTAAACATAAAAATGTCTTTATATATATATATATATATATATATATATATATATATATATATATATATATATATATATATATATATATATATATATATATATATATATATATATATATATATATATAAACAAAGATAAGTTTTTATATTAAGGGATATTATTAATATTAATATATTTTATATTAAGGGATTATTATTAATATTTTTTTTCATGTTGACAATGTATTAAAATATAGTAAATTACTATAAAAGTAATTTACATTAACCAGAAAAAAGGCTGAGACACAAGCGTTTACCTTTTTAAATTTGTTTTTTTTAATTTAACTATAACAACAAAAACATTTCGATTTCATTTTTGCCTTGAAAAAGTCCGAAGACAAAACACGTCGGCAAAATGTAAGATTTTTTTTTCCAATTGTCATTTGATGCCATATATATATATATATATATATATACACGTTCTATCTCTGATATTGAGCACTTTATCCCATAAATATAGCATTCAGACAAACTCTGAAGATCTTTGTTTCAAGATGTATATATATATATATACATATATATATATATATATATATATATATATATATATATATATATATATATATATATATATATATACTTCGAAATATGTGCAGTTTTAAATAGGGTAGTTTGGGATCAATATACTGTTGTAGCTACCAGTGGCCTGACAGATACCCTGTTTTTTTTTTTAAAGGTAGTTCCCTTCATGGGAAAAGGAAATCGATTTTAGATTCATGTCTGGAAGGGTCTTTTCTGTAGTACCACTCTCGATCATTTAAACGATAAAGATTAATTTCCTAGGTTAAAAAGATAGATGTATACCTACTAAATATAACATTTCAGGTAATAAGAAACATTTGACACTAAGTAACCTAACACGGGTTGACATGTCGTAAAACGGTAAAATCAACCAACCCATCAACTGTCTGCCTGTCTAGGCCCGTTCATGTATATTCGACATCCGTTCTCTTTATTAATTCGAGTTTACTCCTTTTCCTGAACATGACAGTCGTGTCTTTTACGCTAGCTATGACCTTCTTTTGTCAAGGCACTTCATATTGGGTTGTCAAAATCTTCGTTCTTTTTATTAAGTAAAAATAAAGGACATTTTTATTTTCGTCGTCAAATTTATCGAACATAGGCAACCCTGTTCAGCCAATATCACCTGCCATCTTTTCGATAAGTTGCTACGTCTTTTTGTTGAGTTTTATTTTTTCCTTCTCACTAAAGAAAAAATTTTCAAGTACCATTTTACAGTCGTGTAAAATATTTAGTCATTAAGAGAACAATATAAAGAAGAGAATATATTTTGTAGTCAGCAATATTTAGTGAATGTCAAGAAAAATTAATATTCATTCGCTAAAAAGTTTTTGCTTGCTCAAGGTAACATCGAATCTAATTTTATCCTGATAGAATATTAGGTCCTGACTGTTAATCTTAGCTTCTTTTTTTTTTAATTGCAACATTCCTTTTAAATTATTGGAGGAAGTGTTTGTGCGAATCGATCGTACATATGTTTGGAAAAATCTGAGAATAAAAGACAATACTAACTTTGTATGATGCAAAACGACTTTTAATAATGTTAATTTGACTCCAATTTCTAGTGATACACCTCCATGTAAACTATTCCCTATTCATCTCTATACATAATTATTTTAAGGAACAAAATATCTCAACACGATTATTTTTACCAGTTTTATATGTGGCAGCTACACATAAAAGCGGCTAACATAAACAAGCCCTTACAAAGAATGCTTGATTTTTATATTTGACTATTTACAGTTAATCGCTTACTCTTGCGTCTGAAATAGGGAATAATGAATTCGTGAATATTTAAATCTATATATTTTAACAAAGTATAGCTGGCCACCCGTATTCGAGAATACCCGACTTGCAAATCCCTATTGCAGACGCTTCCTCAGGCGCATTTGTGATTATTCAATACACACAGAGCTTACCTGAGCAGACCTTAGTTACAGTTTCTGGGAAAGAGCGTGTTATCAAGCGTGATCAACAATTTGAAAAAGGCCAGCATGCTGAAGCCTCGGATTCGGTGACTTGTGACATGGTGCTAGAACAGCTATCGACGCCCCCTCCTACAAGGGCTCCGTCTACCCAATTTCACTCACAAGGCTTCGGTCAACAAGTGGTATTGTTTTTAGGTACTTTCCAAAGATACCGCAACGCTTGGATGTACCCCTCCAGTCTGATAGAATCAGGAAGTCTCCTTGCTGCCAAATCGACTATGGTGAGATTCAAACTCATGGTCAGAATGCAAACGTTTTACCACCCGGCCACATTTTTACAACTTTCCAACATTGTTTCAAATATTTCTTCTTCTTCTTCTTCTTCTTCTTCTTCTTCTTCTTCTTTTCTTCTTCTTCTTCCGTTTTTTCTTCTTCTCCTTCTTCTTCTTCTTCTTCCGTTTCTTCTTCTTCTTCTTCTTTTCTTCTTCTTCCGTTTCTCCTTCTTCTTCTTCTTCTTCTTCTGCTTCTTCCGTTTCTTCTTCTTCTTCTTCTTCTTCTTCCGTTTCTTCTTCTTCTTCCGTTTCTTCTTCTTCTTCTTCCGTTTCTTCTTCTTCTTCTTCTTCTTCTTCTTCCGTTTCTTCTTCTTCTTCTTCTTCTTCTTCCATTTCTTCTTCTTCTTCTTCCGTTTCTTCTTCTTCCGTTTCTTCTTCTTGTTCTTCTTGTTCTTCTTGTTCTTGTTCTTCTTCTTCTTCCGTTTCTTCTTCCTCTTCTTCTTCTTCTTCTTCTTCTTCCGTTTCTTCTTCTTCTTCTTCCGTTTCTTCTTCTTCTTCTTCTTCCGTTTCTTCTTCTTCTTCTTCTTCTTCCGTTTCTTCTTCTTCTCCTTCTTCCGTTTCTTCTTCCTCTTCTTCTTCTTCTTCTTCCTATTCTTCTTCTTCTTCCTTTTCTTCTTCTTCTACTTCTTGTTGTTGTTCTTCTTCTTCCGTTTCTTCTTCTTGTTCTTCTTCTTGTTCTTGTTCTTCTTCCGTTTCTTTTTCTTCTTCTTCCGTTTCTTCTTCTTCTTCTTCTTCTTCCGTTTCTTCTTCTTCTTCTTCCCTTTCTTCTTGTTGTTGTTGTTCTTCTTCTTCTTCCTCTTCTTCTTCTTCCTCTTCTTCTTCTTCCTCTTCTCCTTCCGTTTCTTCTTCTTCTACTTCTTGTTCTTCTTCTTCTTCTTCCGTTTCTTCTTCTTGTTCTTGTTCTTGTTCTTCTTGTTCTTGTTCTTCTTCAGTTTCTTCTTCTTCTTCTTCTTGCGTTTCTTCTTCTTCTTCTTCCCTTTCTTCTTCTTCTTTTTCTACTTCTTCTTCTTCTTCCGTTTCTTCTTCTTCTTCTTCTTCTTCTTCCGTTTCTTCTTCTTCTTCTTCTTCCGTTTCTTCTTCTTCTTCTTCTTCTTCCGTTTCTTCTTCTTCTCCTTCTTCTGTTTCTTCTTCCTCTTCTTCTTCTTCTTCCGTTTCTTCTTCTTCTTCTTCCGTTTCTTCTTCTTCTACTTCTTGTTGTTGTTCTTCTTCTTCCGTTTCTTCTTCTTGTTCTTCTTCTTGTTCTTGTTCTTCTTCCGTTTCTTCTTCTTCTTCTTGTTCCGTTTCTTCTTCTTCTTCTTCCGTTTCTTCTTCTTCTTCTTCCGTTTCTTCTTGTTGTTCTTCTTATTCTTCATCTTCTTCCTCTTCTTCTTCTTCCTCTTCTTCTTCCGTTTCTTCTTCTTCTACTTCTTGTTCTTCTTCTTCTTCTTCCGTTTCTTCTTCTTGTTCTTCTTCTTGTTCTTCTTGTTCTTGTTCTTCTTCAGTTTCTTCTTCTTCTTCTTCTTGCGTTTCTTCTTCTTCTTCTTCTTCTTCTTCTTCCGTTTTTTCTTCTTCTTCCCTTTCTTCTTCTTCTTCTTCTACTTCTTCTTCTACTTCTTCCGTTTCTTCTTCTTCTTCTTCTTCTTCTTCTTCCGTTTCTTCTTCTTCTTCTTCTTCCCTTTCTTCTTCTTCTTCTTTTTCTTCCGTTTCTTCTTTTTCTTCTTCTTGTTCTTCCTCTTCTTCTTCTTCCTCTTCTTCTTGTTCTTCTTCTTCCGTTTCTTCTTCTTCTTCTTCCGTTTCTTCTTCTTGTTCTTCTTGTTCTTCTTCTTCTTCCTCTTCTTCCGTTACTTCTTCTTCTACTTCTTGTTCTTCTTCTTCTTCTTCTTCCGTTTCTTCTTCTTGTTCTTCTTCTTGTTCTTCTTGTTCTTGTTCTTCTTCAGTTTTTCTTCTTCTTCTTCTTCTTGCGTTTCTTCTTCTTCCGTTTTTTCTTCTTCTTCCCTTTCTTCTTCTTCTTCTTCTACTTCTTCTTCTTCTTCTTCTTCAGTTTCTTCTTCTTCTTCTTCTTCCGTTTCTTCTTCTTGTTCTTCTTGTTCTTCCTCTTCTTCTTCTTCTTCTTCTTCCTCTTCTTCTTGTTCTTCTTCCGTTTCTTCTTCTTCTACATCTTCTTCTTCTTCTTCTTCTTCCGTTTCTTCTTCTTCTTCCGTTTCTTCTTCTTCTTCCTCTTCTTCTTCCGTTTCTTCTTGTTCTTCTTCCGTTTCTTCTTCTGGTTCTTCTTGTTCTTCTATTTCTTGTTCTTCTTCCTCTTCTTCTTCTTCCTCTCCTTCCGTTTCTTCTTCTTCTACTTCTTGTTCTTCTTCTTCTTCTTCAGTTTCTTCTTCTTGTTCTTCTTCTTGTTCTTCTTGTTCTTGTTCTTCTTCAGTTTCTTCATCTTCTTCTTCTTCTTGCGTTTTTTCTTCTTCTTCTTCTTGCGTTTTTTCTCCTACTTCTTCTTCTTCTTCTTCCGTTTTTTCTTCTTCTTCCCTTTCTTCTTCTTCTTCTTCTTCTACTTCTTCTACTTCTTCCGTTTCTTCTTCTTCTTCTTCTTCTTCTTCTTCCGTTTCTTCTTCTTCTTCTTCTTCTTCTTCTTCCGTTTCTTCTTCTTCTTCTTCTTCTTTTTCTTCTTCCGTTTCATCTTCTTCTCCTTCTTCCGTTTCTTCTTCCTCTTCTTCTTCTTCCGTTTCTTCTTCTTCTTCTTCCGTTTCTTCTTCTACTTCTTGTTGTTGTTCTTCTTCTTCCGTTTCTTGTTCTTGTTCTTCTTCTTGTTCTTGTTCTTCTTCCGTTTCTTCTTCTTCTTCTTCCGTTTCTTCTTCTTCTTCTTCCGTTTCTTCTTGTTGTTCTTGTTGTTCTTCTTCTTCTTCCTCTTCTTCTTCTTCCTCTTCTTCTTCTTCCTCTTCTTCTTCCGTTTCTTCTTCTTCTACTTCTTGTTCTTCTTCTTCTTCTTCCGTTTCTTCTTCTTGTCCTTCTTCTTGTTCTTCTTGTTCTTGTTCTTCTTCAGTTTCTTCTTCTTCTTCTTCTTGCGTTTCTTCTTCTTCTTCTTCCGTTTTTTCTTCTTCTTCCCTTCCTTCTTCTTCTTCTTCTTCTACTTCTTCTTCTACTTCTTCCGTTTCTTCTTCTTCTTCTTCTTCTTCTTCTTCCGTTTCTCCTTCTTCTTCGTCTTCTTCCGTTTCTTCTTTTTCTTCGTCTTCTTCCCTTTCTTCTTCTTCTTCTTCTTCTACTTCTTCTTCTTCTTCTTCCGTTTCTCCTTCTTCTTCGTCTTCTTCCGTTTCTCCTTCTTCTTCGTCTTCTTCCGTTTCTTCTTTTTCTTCTTCTTCTTCCGTTTCTTCTTCTTCTTCTTCTTCTTCTTGTTCTTCCTCTTCTTGTTCTTCCTCTTCTTGTTGTTCTTCTTCCGTTTCTTTTTCTTCTACATCTTGTTCTTCTTGTTCTTGTTCTTCTTCCCTTTCTTCTTCTTCCGTTTCTTCTTCTTCTTCTTCTTCTTCTTCTTCTTCCGTTTCTTCTTCTTGTTCTTCTTCTTCTTGTTCTTCTTCTTCTTCCGTTTCTTCTTCTTGTTCTTCTTCTTGTTCTTCTTGTTCTTGTTCTTCTTCAGTTTCTTTTTCTTCTTCTTCTTCTTCTTCTTGCGTTTCTTCTTTTTCTTCTTCTTCTTCTTTTTCCTCTTCTTCTTCTTCCTCTTCTTCTTCCGTTTCTTCTTCTTCTACTTCTTGTTCTTCTTCTTCTTCTTCTTCTTCCGTTTCTTCTTGTTGTTCTTCTTCTTGTTCTTCTTGTTCTTGTTCTTCTTCAGTTTCTTCTTCTTCTTCTTCTTCTTGCGTTTTTCTTCTTCTTCTTCTTCTTCTTCCGTTTTTCTTCTTCTTCTTCTTCTTCTTCTTCTTCTTCCGTTTCTTCTTCTTCTTCTTCTTCCGTTTCTTCTTCTTCTTCTTCTTCCGTTTCTTCTTCTCCTTCTTC